GTCGTCTTTAGGTTTTGACATTCACTCACGTCATCTTATGGCTTTCGAGTTCTGTCAAAGAGGGGCAACTATAGACACCCCATTTTTTACTGTTCTCAAGGCTTAGACGTCATCGTTTGAATACTCGATGATTATCCATGTTCGTGTTCATTTTGAGTTTCTGAAGGTTTCGGCCGTGCGTCTTGCCTTGGAACCTCTTAACTTGTCTGTTTTGTGCTTGGTTATGGACCCAAGGCTCGTGTATTTGCTTCTGGGGAGAAGAGGGTGGCCTGTTGGCCAGCCATATAACCTATCGACCAAGGCTTATTTCCATCGGCCATCAGTGGTGGCCGGTCGGCTACACTGATGGCCGGTCGGCCGCCTTAATAGCCAGTCAGCCACTTGTGTTGGCCGAGAGCCCTTTTTCTGCTTTTTCAGATATTGTGGGTGCCAGCTGTGCTAGCTGGTGAGCACAGATTGCATCCTCCATACACGTATATAGAGGGATTGCACTAAGCTTCTAGCTTCTTCAAGAAGCTTGAAGCTTAGAATTCTATAAGAGGGAGGCTCTCTCTCCCTTTTCCAGGTTGACAAAAATTTCCAGAGCTGAAGTTTACTCTCTCTCTCTCTATACCTCTCTCACTCTCTCTCTATATTTGTGCCTTAAAGTGCATTCTCTTCACATTTGTACACACAACCTCCTAGCCAAACACTTCTACCTTGTTGCTGAGGTCCTAGAGGGTCTTGTGGGAGCTTCAAAGGCTGGTTTTTGGCTCAAGAAAGTGTTGTTGTTACTGTGCTTCAAGGGTAATCCCATTTCCCCTTTTTGAGCTTTGTTTTGGTTACTCTCTCAGCCACCTTTGCATGTTTCTTTTGGCTTAACCTTCAACTGCAAAAACCTTTGCTTTAAAGTGTTTTAAATGGTTGTTCTAGGCCTTATGTGAGTTAGGGGTAGTCTAGCTCCTTTGGTGGCCTATTTTGCTTTACTTTATGCTATCTCTTAAGGCCTTTAAGATCACCTTTGTTTGGCCTCTTTACCACTGAATTTCAGAGGAATTTCAGTGGTGGAAAGTGTGTCCTGGGACCCAAAATAGGTGGGGGTGGTCCTCCCCCTTTTGTATCTTGTGCCCCCTTTTCTATCTTGTTTGCATGTATTATTGGCTTATCAAGTTAGCATGTTTTTCTACCTTCTTGGGGCCCTATCTTATCATGTTTCAGACCTTGTTTTTCCATGACATAGCTCTATTTGGGGTTGGTTTGGTTACCTCTTGCACACTCCTTGCACTTGTAGTGCAATTCCACTCACTAGCCTAGCATGCTTGCTACTTTGGCCTATGGTTCTAGCTCATTTTGGCTCTATTTCAGCATGTTTTTTGCAATGATTTCGCATGCTTTAGATTTGGTTTGGGTGATCTTGATCATGTATGCTTTGCTTTGTATAGCCATAGTGTAAAGCCCCTCCACTAGCTTTGTGTTTTGGGTCCATTAGCATGCATTGCTTGGGCTCTTTACATGATATAGCATCATTTGATATATGATTTCAGAGCATGTTTCAATGTCATACCCTCGTGTGTATCACTCTTTCAATGCTTTGGAGGGTTATGCTTTATGCCTTAATCATGAGCCAATTTGCATGCATGCTTGTCTAAGCTCTTGGGCTTCATTTTAGCATGTTCTTGGCCCTTAACTTGGCATGTTTGAGCTCTGTCCAGAGCTGGTTTGATTATTTGTGCTATGTATTGCATGCCTCTTGTGTGATGCTCTTAAATAGCCTTATGCTCTAGGCCCTCTAACATGCCTTGTTTGTGTTATTTGGATGATTTGGCATCATTAAACACTTGATTTCAGAGCATGTAGCATTGCCATATTCTCATGTTTGTCACTCTTTAATTGTGTTTGAGAGTTGAGCAGTGTGCCTTGTTTGTGGCCCAACATGTATGCATGTTTGTCTAGTCCTTTGAGCTTCAATTCCAACATGTTAAGGCCTTTGTTTTGGCGTGCATGAGGGCTGTTTAGGTTTGGTTTAGTTCATTGAGCATTGTATTGCATGACTCTAATGTTGTCTCTTTCACTTGTTTTAATGCTTAGGTCTGTAGACATGTCTTGCATGCATTGTTTACATGTTGGAGTCTTATGTTTCATATCAAGATTAGCATGTTGTTTGCATGTGCATTGCATTGCATTGTGTTTGGATCGAATGTTAATCCAAACACGAGAAACGAGGAGCGTTTCATACTCAAAGTGATGAAACGTGCCTCATTTCTCGGTCCCCGACCCTCTTGATCAAGAAGGATAGAGGTGGAGGCTCTTATGTGTTATTTGTGTGCATTCATTTATTAACTTGTGCAAGCTTGGCTCTTTGGCCATTATGCATCGAGATGCATGATTGATGGCTCAAGAGTCGAGCACTACGCTCCTTTGAGCTTGAGACATGATAAGGAGTGTAGTTGCATACACATTTCCTTGCAAATACACTGTCATGCCTCTTTTTGTGCTCAGTTGTAGCAAAAGAAGAAATTGTAGGAAGCAGTGGCCGACTGGCCATCAAAGCCAGCCGACTGGCCACCAAGGATGCCGATCGGCCATCCTTACTAGCCGATGGCCATCATCTCTGGCCGGTGAGCCTTCAGCATTCTCCTAAGGTGGGTCAGAAGCATTCTGGGAGTTGGCATAATTTTCAGAGGTCCAAAAGTGTGCAAACAGAGGCATCATGAGGCACGGTAGTGAATTTCCATGCGAAGCCGACCGAGCATGCATATCCCCCTCACTTCCCGAGGCCATTTGTTTAAATTGCTTAGCTAAACTAGTTCATTAGCTTAGTTATTTTGTAATTAATTAGTTAAGTGTTTAATTAATTAATTTGGTTTGTACTTAATTAACTTAGAATAGTTAGTTGATTCAATTTGGTTTGTAATAATCAATTAGCTAAGTTAGTTAATTAGTTGAATTGTAATAATTAACTTAATTAGCATAGCTAGTTAACTTTTATTTCATTCGGACCATCCGTCGAGAGGGCAAATGTTGTAATAAGGGTGCGTGCGTGTGTGCATATCTTCCAACCCCACATCTTTTTCCCTTTTATTTACCCGCTTTCGGTGGTTAGATTAGGGCATATTTTGATTAGCATATCTCATGCTTTGCATGCGTGCATCATTCATTTGTCTTGCATGCACCGGGCTCGGCGCATCATTCAAACTGTATTGTATTTCAATACACTTACTTGAATACGTGTTTCAAAGCATGTTATCGATTGTTGCATCCATATGCCATTCTAGATAGCCGAGCCTATTTTAGTTACATTTTTGCATGTCTTGCATTAGGTATCTTAACATAGTTAGGATCATGCATGATTACTAAGTAGCTTCTTTTTTGGCTCGGAGTACACTATGAGTATTTACGCTTTAGCATCCTTGCATGTGTGTAAGTGACTGCCATGATAGCATGCTTGCCATGAGGCTATTTGCTTAATTGCTATAACTGCATGAATGCCTGCTGATGAAGGCTTCATTGCCTGAATTGAAATAACTCGATGATTGTGAGTTTTAAGCCCACTTGAGGGTGGCAAATCTGCGCTTTAGCCTACTTGCGAGTAGCACTTTCAAACCACTTTCAAAAACAAACATGAGTTGTTTTGTTCCAATCCACGTGATTGAGTCTATACTTGTATATTGTGCACATCACATGATAAGTTGGATTAATAAACGGGAATAAAAACACATGTGTTTTCAAAAACAACATATCATGTTAGTAGAGGCCGATCCTTTGATCGGGCGAGCGGGGGTGCTCATTTCAGGACCTTCCCCTCTTGTACCCATGTTCCCGAGCCGAGGCAACTTTGGTGATGATGGACACGTGACCTTAGACACGAGCCAGGGTTTCCTAAATTTTCCAAAACAAAACATTTAGGTGGTGACTCTGTAATTTGGCAAAGCAGTCCATGTTTGGCACTTATTGATTAAAATCGATTTTCCAAAACGATTTGCCGGATTTGGACTCTTTGTTGATTTATCAGTCTTACATTGCACTTTGTGAAACTAGATACAGAACCGTGACAGGAGTCCTAACTGTAGTAACTAGAACACAATTCGCGCCCTCGCGCCCAGAGTGGAGTTCAGGCGGTCTACACCTATCCAAACACTTCCTAAACCAAAATTTTGAGTCTCCTTGCTGAGGTTCTTGAGTTAGAATATCAGCCCTTAAGAGCGAAAGCCTTGTGGTTTGTGAACAAAAGAGTAACTTCTCTTCAAGAGGTATAATTTGTACCATCCTTACACTACTTATTCCTACTCTTTTCTTACTATTTTTACACTGTTTTTATGGGTTGAAACTTGTGGCTTAAAGCTATCCAAGGTGGAGGGGTTAACCACCCTTCTTTGAACCTTGTTTTCTAAGCTTTTGCCCTTATATTTCCCATTCTTTTCTCAACTTTTTTTCAAATTTTACCACTGTTTTTCAGAGCTAAAATGTGGTTTTGAGGTCCCAAAAGTGGAGGGGCTAGCCACTCTTCCTTAAGCTTGCTTACTAGCTTCATTTCTCCATTGTTTTTAGCTTACTTTTTCTAGCTTTCCATGATAATTCCAGCACTGTTTTTAGGAGTTTTAGAATTGTTTTAGTGTGTTTACTTCATTTATACTTTGTATAGTAGGCTTGTAGTGTAGTGGTCCTCATAGGTTTGGTGGTTTAGGCATTAACCTATTTGAGTTGATAGCATTTATTTTATACTTTCCATACTTATGTTCACACATAATCACCTCATCACTCTCCCTCCTTTCTTGACTCATTTTATTTCTTTGAAAGTTGTTTGAACCGAGTGTTGTTTAAGCTTGAGAAAGTAACCCTTCCATGCTTAATGGTTTAATCTCTTCGGAGGTTCATTACCAAGGCATTACATCTCTCTCATGCCCAAAACAACTTCTTGTTTGAAACTTTTCTCTACTAGTGGACTTAATTCTCATTTTTGGACTAAAACGACTAATGAATAGAAAGGTAAATAAAAGAGGCAATGAAATTGGACTAAAATAGAACAAGATAATAAAATCAAGTTGGGTTCAATCAGACGTTAATTGAACGGATTGAGTCTTGAGCCATTTCACACTTGTTTGTGATGATAATGGTTCAAGAATCAATGTCAACCACTTTCCTTGATCAATCCCATGATAGCAAGGAGGTTTTGTGGGTCTTTTATTTGCACTTATTGAGCATTTGTCCAATCGAGTCATAGAGCATCATGTAACAACTTTGTAACCACTGATAATTTGTGAATCGATTCTACCTCTCTTTTGATCAATTTCATGATAGAGAGAGGTAGAGAGGATAAACATCCCCTAGAAACACTCTATTTCCGCTCTATTCCTTTTCTGCTGCAGTAGGGCAATACCAATAATAGTGGCCGGCCGACCACCTCTTTGTAGCATGGCAGTGTCATTTTCCTGCAAAACATAGCAGAAGTTAAGGCAAAACAGAAGTATTTTCTGCAGACAAAACAGTTCTAGTAGCAAAATAAAGGCGTTTTCGAGAGGATGTTTGCTTTGGCATGCGCAGTTCCTTAACCCGTGCTCGAGTTTAATTAGTTTACATAGCTCTTAGTTAATTAGTTAAGTAATTAATTAATTCCTTTGACTTGTAATAGCTTAGTTAATTAATTCCATGTTGTAACTAATTAGTTAGCTTAATTCTAATTTGAATTAATTAGTTAGAATAGCTAGTTAATTTTTGTATTGTAATTAATTAATTAGTTAGAATAGCTAGTTAATTTTTGTGTTGTAATTAATTAATTAGCTAGTTAAGCTAGTTATAGTTTGCGTTATACTTAATTGGTTAGTTAGGATAGCTAGTTGATTTCGATGTTGTAATAAGTAGCATAAAGTAGGACATTCATTTGGACTCTCTTACATGAGGGCAAAATTATAATAATGTGTGTATGTCTTCAAATCTCCATTTCTTTCTTATTTTTATTTACTTCCTTATGATGGATTGCATGTAGCATCATGTTTCATTTAGCATTGTCCATGACTTGCATCCTTATGTTTTGCATGCATTGGGTTCGGCACACCATCCTAACTCTTTGGTCATACATTAATTATGTGAATACATGTTTCACTGCATATCAAATTGATTCATATGCCATGTTAAATAAACCAAACCTATTAGTTGCATCTTTGTATGTGTTGCATTAGTCATTTGCATTGTTAGAAGCATGTATCTTTTCTAATTGTTTTATTTCTTTTGGCTTGCCTTGGAATACCAGGTGAGCGGTTTTTCTTTAGCATATTGCATGCACGTGATTGTTGCCATATCAAGCATATTTTCAATGAGGCTAAGTGCTTAAGTGATATACCTGTTTAAATGCTTGCGGATGAAGGCTAATTGCTTAAGTTTGGATGATTTGCTTAAGCATACATATGAGATCACTTTTTCAAGTGATACATATTCAAACACCTTTCAAAACACACATAAATCAAAATGTTCCAATTTTTGTAAATTAATCTATACTTATGTACGTCACATAGTAAAATTAGCCTAATAATCAAAACAAGAGCATACAATGTAAATAAGAATCACATCATGATTAGTAGAGGCCGCTCTTTGATCGGGTGAGTAGGGTGCTCAATTCATGACATTCCCTTCTCATACCTAAGTTCCCTAGTCGAAACACTTTGGTGTTGATGGATAAATAGTCTTTGGCACGAGTCTCGGGTTTTCTAAATTTTCCAAAAAATATTTAGGTGGTAACTCTGAAATCTGGCAAAATAGTCCATTTTGACATTCTAATAAATCGATTTTCCAAAAGATTTGCAGGATTTTAACTCATTTTGTTTACCTATTTCACATTGTACTTGTGAAATCAGATTTAGAATCACAGGAGTTCGAACTATAAGACTATTGTATCCAAAAGGAACACGAAAAACAAGTTACAATGTAGCAAAATTCATATAGAAATTTTCTACACATTCTAGTAAAATTCTTATTCAATCCCAGAAAATTTCCAATTGCTTGTACAAAAGAGCATACTGAGACAAGAACCCTATTCTAGTCCAACATCTATATTAGTGCTAAGTCCCTAGCCTCAACCCAACTCCTTCAGTCCCTAGCTTCAGCCTAACTCCTTCCAGCAATTTAAACATATTTACCCACTCTTTCTCTCACTACATAATTGTCTTCTATACTCCAACTTCCACAGAATTTTACCATCATCAAGCTTACATACATCCTTCACATTACATTTGAGATTGTTAATAGCCTTGGATATTTTAAGTTTAGTGACCAATTCCCAAGTCAATATATGCCCATTTCCCACTATTATAAACAGATTATTATTCCTTGCAATATCCTTAACATTGAACTACTTGCATTCTAATTCCACTATACTCTTCCAAACACCTGAATTTTTTCCATTTTCAACCCACCAGGCAATCCACCAGGGAAGCCATTATACCATCTCAACATTATATTTATGGCTTACTAACCCCTTCTCCACAATGTCACACTTCTTTCCTTACCAAATCTCCACCACCATTTTGACAAAAGAGCCATATTCATAGATTCTTCAAACCCAACACACCTGAATCCTTACTAGTGGTCACTTTCTTACAATTCACTAGATTTTTCAATTTTACGAGATTTATTTAACCAGTTTCTTGCAGGGTTCTATATCCTAGTAGACACAAGGAAAACATTGTTTCCATTTAATATGTATATAATATACTAGAGTTTGCAAATTTTTTTGGCACCCTTTAATACAATAGCTAACTTTACTAATAAAAAATCAACATAAAACACGAGGAATAAAAATATCAATCATTCAAACTTTACCAAATCGAAGGCACCAAAAGTATTAAATAAGAATAGTCACGTAATTAAAGTCGAACACATTTAACAAAGCCAACATCATTTAAGTCAAACCAAGAAGGTGCTTGATTTCAAACTGGCACTAAGCTTTCAAAAATCTTCCATTCAAACTAATAATCAAAATGAAAAGCAGAGAAACACACTCAGTCACCCTTTCTCCTGAAAAAGCATTGGCTCGCACAAGACGGTCTTGCAGTTTCCACACAGCACAACACTTTGCAAGTGACTAAAGATAGTGGTGGTTTTGCATTTTTTTTTCCAATTAATCAATCAATAAAAATGTACTAAAACGGAAAAAAACTTAACACATCATGTAAATCTCTGTTTGGTTTTGAAACTCAATAATTTATTTTTGAGTTTTTTGTTTATAGTGGTTTATTGTATTTTAGTTAACCTTTTCATATTTCAATAAATAAATAAAAGTTAAGTTTTATATCCAACCAACTAACCTAAACGTACTTTAAAGTTAAAAGCAAAAATTGAGAAAAAAGAATCACTAAAAATACAAAGAGTACATATCTAGTGAACTTTGTCAGGGTTCTTCACAAATATTTGAATTTTTAGGTGTATCAAGTGAATCAACTTGACTAAAATGTTAAAAAACAAATACAAAAAACTCAAAAACAGCTTTCAGAAACTAATCCAACAGAGCATTTAAGTTGAAACCCAAAACAATAACATGAGATCAATAATAACAATAAACAAAGTATTACAAAAACTCACATGTTGAAACAGCCTTGGCATTTGACTTCCTTTAGCATAAAAAAAAAAAAAAATTGGGAAAAACAAAGAATCAGGGCACTATTTGGTTAAAAACAAAGCTTACAAAAATTGAGTATCAATTATGAGTGACAAAGTAAAATTTGTGGGGTTTGTGTTACCATGAAGAAGGAATTAGGGGACTGGACCAGACGTTTTAGCTTGTGCTTCCTCTTCTCGAGCTCCGTTAGTAGATTCAACAAATCGATATCGTTTGGAATAACCTAAAAAATGAGATCAAAACTTAATCAATTGTCATGAAAAATCATATTCAATACCATAAAAACCTACCAAATACAGATCTGAAGAATAAAATACCAAAAAATAAAATGGGGGGGGGGGGTTTGAAGAATAAAATACAAAAAGAAGGGCTTTGATATAAGGATGAGGTGCGATTAAACTCACCATTTTGTGTGTGTTTGTGTGTTGGAGAAGTAGAGAGCCTTTTTACTGCAAACTTGCTAAAACCCTAGATGAAGACTCCGAAGGATGTGGGGTTAGAACCCTAGATTTATCGTCACATATGTGTCACCTCAAAAATAAATACAATCAACCCATCTCATAACCAGTAATATAAATGAAATGACATACTTTCATGTATCAGAGTTTAATCTACATTTACGAGACGATAACAAAATGAAGCTATACAATTAGTCATATGTCTCGGTGGCTTACATCTTTCTAAGTCACTGCTTGAGTACTACAAAAGTGGATTAAGAATTCAATACAAATTTAAGCCCGAGGCTTGTTCAAATTACAACTGAAGCAAAATAAACAAAACGAGCCTTCTGCTCCACATTCCTCCCAAGCTAAGTCCTTGGCGGAAGCATATCACCAACACCTAAAAATGTTTTTCCCATATAGGGTGAGCCAAAACCCAATAAAAACAATCTAATACAACATATGAAACTTAACGAAGTTATAAGGGTAACATGCAATTACAATGTCATTGATAAACCTTTTCATAATTCTTTGCAGCACCAACAGTATTATTTCAATTCATGACAACCATTCCATTTCATTCTGACAACCAACCTGAGCATACAACTCAATAGGTCTCTAACCAGTATAACTACCACACAATATTTCGTCCGTGGGAATCGACACCCATGTATAACAGTAATTTTTGAAATTTTCACCCTGGACATTGCGGCCAACTCAATTCAATGGAGTACATCCCCTTTTTTCTCCTAAATATGCATTCCTTTTCTCCTCCCAATCATCATACACATACTATGTATTTAAAGGCATAATCATATTCAATGATAACGGATGAGAATTTAGTTTCAATTCACCTAATTCTCATGCAATTTCTACAACAATCATAGCCATCTTCCACTGATAGCCCAAAACAAATATTTCTAAACAGATATACAATCTCAAGACAAATAAATTATCCAAATTTCCATATAGGGTGAGTGACAATACATAACCAACTCTACTTTATATAATCAACCATCCAATTCCACATTTCCAATATCAATTCTATTTATTTATACAAAAATAAATCCTTGAGACATTTTAGGGCAAACTTCCCCTTTTTCCCAAAATTCAACCCAAGTATCAAAATCAACCATTTTGTTTCCACACAACCTCATAACCACTTCCATTACCATTTTCAATATTCCCATTTGAAAACCTCTCTTTTAAGTTTTAAACCAAAATCCTAGGTTTATTCAATTTTTCCCAAAATCACAACTATGTTTATACAAAACAAATAACTAAATTGAGAGTCATATAGGAGTATAGAAGATCCCTACCTCAAGCTTAGATGACTAAGGAAGTAATGGAGTCACTTCAAAGATGCCGAAACCAAGCTTTGTTCGTACCAAAATAGAGAGCTAGGTGAGCTCTACCTTTTTAATAAAGGCGCACGGGTGAAAAAACCACTAGATCTAGATGAAAATGTAGAGAGAATGTAGGTTTTAGAGAGAGTGAGTCAAGATCTAGGGTTTTGAAATGTTTTAGAGAGAGAAGAGATAAAAAAGTGATGAAAATGTGGTTGTTACGAACTGATATACGCACAGTCCATTCAAGCACAAGAAGTGACGCTCGAGCGTCACACACAATAAGTTGTTTCACTCGAGCGCAAGAAACGACGCTCAAGCGCAGAATGCACACTCTCAGTAGTTTTACAGACAACAAACCAACTCTCGAGTGCAAGAAAGGTCGCTCGAGCTGAGCCCGCTCAAACGCAGAAAGAACCGCTCAGGCATAGAATACACTCTCCCAATAGTTTTACAGACCTGCAAAAGTACTGAAAGTTTGCAAAACCTACTCGAGCGCAAGAAGTGCCGCTCTAGCGAAGGAGAAAAAATCTTGACAACAAAAGTTTAGAAACTAAGCAACCAACATGTTCCAAACGCAACCACAACAACCCAATAGCCAAATTTAAAAAATACAAGGAAAGCAAGATATGATTAACAATATAACACCATGAAACCCGAGTCTAGAATAACAAGGGTCGGGTCAAAATCAAAATCGCTGTAGCATATATATAACAAAAAATTGGAATAATTATAGACCATTCGATGGATTGGTGTCTAATCTCAGCCATTGGTTTTTGGTTTTTTCAAACAATATATATGTATCATATTAGGGCAAAAAAATGGATTACAGGGTTAATGATTTTGAGAATGGCAAGTGGAGTTTTTTTTTTTTTTCCCTAAATAATTCAAAAAATCAAACTATTTATAAAAATAGCATAATTTATAAATTATTTAGTAAAATAACTTGTTTTTTGAAATCAGGTTTTCAAAATACAATTTTATGACAAAATTATATTTTCAAAATACATTTTCATGGTGATATGGCCGCCTAATGGTGCTAACGTGAACATGTTAAAATCACTTTTTAGAAACACAATTTTATCTTAAAATTGTATTTTCAAAACACAATTTCAATCCTGACATGAAATGTAATTTCAACACAGTATGTGCATTTTGAAAATGATATATCAATACGAAATTTCATTTTGAAAATGTGATTTCAACATAAGGTTGATATTGCATTTTAAAAATGAGATTTAAATTATATCACATTTTAAGTGCATTTTCGAGAAATCTTAATTTAGGAAACACGGTTTTTTGGAATCACAATTTCAAAATACAAAATAAAAATGATTAGTTTAATTTTTAGATATGCTTTTATTATTAATGTTTTTTAAGAAATTAAAACTAGTTTGACAAAAAAAAACATCAGAAATATTTTTTGAATATTAAAAAATTACTTGCACTTTTTAAGAAGATAAAATCATGTAAAAGTAATGAGTATTTTTATTTTTCATTTTTTTACTAAATTAGTTTCAAGGTTTTTTTTAAAAAAAATTAGAAATCAAATGAAACCAAACAGAGTTGTTATACAGAATTGGTATGCGATTTCGTGTTGCAAAATATTTAAGATAGCAAAATTTTATTCAGTACATAAATATGATTTTAGCGACATTCATGCGATTTCATTACATAATATAGATGCATACGATTCATTAAATAGTTAAGATAACAAACTTTTTTATTTTTTATTTTATGTAATGAAATCATATGACTTTGGATTATATACTAATACAAGTTTGCTATAACTATTTTTCAACATATAATTGCATTTTAAAATTATAATTTCATTATTTTGCATTTTCAAATTGTGATTCAATAAAATTGTTTCCTAAATCAGGATTTTTGGAAAATTGATTTAATTGAAATCTCATTTTCAAAATGTAATACCCGATCTTGTTTTTTTTTTTTTTTTTCTCGAAAGGACATACCCAATTTTATGTTGAAATCACAACTCATAATGAGCATTGAAAATATCATTTTCACTTTAATATTGAAATTTTGTTTTGAAAACGCAATTTCATGACAGTATTGAAATTGTGTTTTAAAAATATAACTTTAAGGTAAACTTGCATTTTCAAAATGCGATTATATTATGGCAACTTCATGCAGCCATGTCACCATGAAAGTGTATTCAGGGCCGGCCCTGAGGGGAGGCAACCAAGGCGGTCACCTCGGGCCCCTAAGTTTGAACAAAATTTAGGGCCCCCAACTAGGGGTGTGTAACATGTTGTGTTATTTTGTAATCATTTCAATATTAGTTCAATCTATTTGTTTTCATGTTGTTATATGGTATTATTTTTATTCGTATCCGATTAATATCTAATGTGAAAACTTTTACTTTTAGTTAAAAATAACTTAGCAAGTGTATGGAGAGATTAAAATTTTTCCCCTAAGTTGAATTTTATAATATTTATTTCTACCAAATGAAATTATTCATAGAATGTTTGATTTCAATTCAATTGTATTTTCTAATTAAAAAAATTGTACTTTATTAGTCTATATTTTTTACTAGATTGACTCTAAAATAAGTAACAAAAAATATATATCTTAAATAATTAAAAAAAAAGATATTAGCCTTAATTATTATTTTACTTACTTTTTTATTCAATTAGATGGAGTTAAATAAAAGATTAAAAAAATATCACGGCATCCCTTAGTGAACATTAAAATATATAACTAATAATTCATATTATTGAGTCATGTCATACTTGAATTCATGTTGAAAAATAGTTAACCCTAACTTGCTAATTTTATATATTGCTTAAGTTGTGTTGAGAATTATCATCCTTACCCCCAATTAATTTTAGTTCTTATAGTATTGGTAAACTAAAAAATAAAAATTCAATTCAACTAATTGAAGTTCAACTATTTTATACATATTTGTTTTCAAAATTTTGTTAAATTGTAATGCAATAGAAATAAATTTTTATCCTTAACAACTTTTTTTTCGAGGGGAAGGGGGGGGAGGGGGGGGGTTAATGATGTATGAAGGGCCCAATTTAAAAAACTTACCTTAGGTCCCTAATAACTCAAGACCGGCTCTAAGTGTTTTTTAAAGATGCAATTTTATCATAAAATTACATTTTGAAGACGCAATTTCGAAAAGTAGATTAGTTTGTTAAATAATTTGAAAAGTGTGTTATTTCTGTAAACAGTTTAATTTTTTAGAATATTCTTGAAAAAAAAAAACTCTAACAAGTGTGATGGACTAGTATTTTTTAGAAATAATGATTCATCTCTTAATTTTGTTTCTTAATTTCACTCTAATAGTGTGGAATTAAGCACACTAAAAATGAGAGAAAAATAAAGTGGAGTGTGGGATTATTTCACATAGGAATGGACCACGTCATTAGGGATGGAATTGAAGAGCAAAATTAGAAGATATAACACCACTCATATTTTAGGAAGAATTACTCAATATTGGGACAAAGAAAAAAAAGTTAGTACAAAAACATGGTGGTGCAATTCATTCTATGGTTAGATGCAAGTGACCCTCCATGTTGTGTATTTTTTTTATCTTTATCGAACTGTTAACTAATTCTGCCTTTTTTTATTATTATTATTTATGAGAACCGCTATTTACACTCATCTTAATTTTTTTTTGTACCCCCCTCTATTTCATTTTTTAATGGGAGCTTTTTTGATAAATTCATTTTCTAAGAGCTTTATTCCATCCAACTCATATTCTTTTTTACT